ATATGCTGGAGATCACTAGTGTAAACGAAAACTTATAGCTGAGTGGTACTGTACATGTGCACATGTATGTACTCCTTTAATTTTGCCTTCCTTAATTGGCAAAGTTAATCTTGGCAAAATCACACAGTTTACACTAGTACAACAGTGTTGACCACATTATCATGCAACCCACAAGAGCTTGAACAAAAATCACTGTATTAAAGAGTGGCAATGACTGTCTCTCTGGTATCTCCATGTTTTTCTTTTGCCTTTCATAATGTTGGTACCAATTTTTGGAAGGGTTCATTATGAATGAACCCTACAGTGTAACCAATATTACCAGCTAAATAGTAATGTAGAGTACAATATTAGCATACATGTACATGTACGTATACAATGTATACACCCAGTTACATGTACTGTATGTGTACAATATACAAGTATTAATACATTTAATTTTTGTAGTTAGCTCCTTATAAATTATCATTATTATTATTTTTATTTTTATCATTATTATTAATATAAAATAAAATTAATTAATTAATTAATGTCAGGTCAGGTTAAGTTTTAAAATCAAAATAAAATAACAGTTAATAATTGTAACTTTAAAAGTACATGTAGGATAAGTTAGGACATCATTAGAGGTAGAGTAGATTATTATTATTATTATTATTATTATTATTATTATTAGAGGTGCAGTTTGCTGAACTTCCTGTCGCTCCCGCTCCTCCTCCTAAGGAGTTGACTGATGAGGAGATTGCCATTCTCTCTAAGCAAAGACAAGCTGTTCTGAGAGAACTAAGAGTATTTCTACGTGACGCTACTAACAAGTTACTAGCTGAAAGGAAATTTAAAGAATTTACTAAACCAGTTGATATTGAAGAAGTAAGACAATAATGAATTTTGGGGGCCTTGTAACTATAAATTTTTTTGCCTCAAAGTGTGCAACAATTTTCATGGAAAATTTTCTAGTGAAAATTTCAACCTACTGTATAGTTTAAAATTTTGGAGGGAGATAAATTTGACCAACTGCTAAATTTTGGTGATCGGTAAATTTGACAAAATTTGTGCCCATGCATGTCCCATTGAGCATGTGCATAATAACTCAGAATGGTGGATTTTTATTTGGTGAATGGCAATCAAAACTTCAAATTTGCTCCCTCCAAAATTACCTGCTATACAGTATATTAAATTAACTTATATTTTGTTTTTTAAAAGGTTCCGGATTATTTTGATATCATTAAATGTCCAATGGATCTGTCAAGTGTCATGAAGAAGATTGATGAGCATCGTTATAATGTACCCAAGGAATGGCTTAATGATATTGACCTCATCACATGCAACGCACTGGAGTAAGAGCCTGCACTGACTGCATGTCATATGTACTGTACATGTACATGTACAGTACATTATCATTATACATACACGTGCATTGTAATTTGTATACATAATTATACATACGTGTAGATGCGTAGATGAAAGACCATGTATCGTACAGCTCCAAATTTTTGTCAGTCAAAAATTTTGTCAAATTTGTTGGGCATTTTAGTTTGACAAAAAAATTTGCTCCATGTGAGTAGCATGCGGATTTATAACAAAAATGGTGAAAATA